CGGCATTCTCGGGGCTAACTTTGGTCGGTCGGAGGCGTGCGCGGATCGAAACGCGACTCGGTATCAAAGAAACCGTACAGCTGGAAGAGAACGCGATAGCTGACGAGACTTTTCTTCGTATCCACGCTCGCATTCTTCGTGATATCTTTCTTGGTATCTCCTTTAGAGCCCGTTGCGAGCACTCGGCCAAAATTCCCATCGTTGGCGGATTCACAAACGTTCAAAATGACACTCGGTGGTGCGATGACGTTGCTGTGTCCTGCCCAAGGGTTTCCCGTTCCGTCGTACAGGTAACACTCCTTGCCTCTATCTTGGCTGACATCACGCGAATCATGTAATTTTTTTCGTCAGAACCAGCATCCAGTACGCGTCCACAAATATCAGGACCAACCGATCTTCAACGATTCAGCGCCTCTTCGCATAAGAGCGTCACCCTTCTATGTCCCGCTCAAGGATTTCCAGTTCCTCTCTATAGGTAGGCAATGGAATAGCTCTCGAGTTTCGAGAACAATGGAAGAACAACTCACTCGTAACCTTGATGAGCTTTCGATTCGTTTCGATAAATGTAGGTGTGTCGCAACGAGAGTTTCTTGAGCTTTTTCGGGCATGTAGCGTGTATATCCGTGAAAAGAACCGGCTTGCTCTATGACAAAAAGGGGGAGTCCCTATTCCAGCATATTCAAAGACACTCTTCATAGCCTCCCCTTTACACAACGACCTCCGTACCACCGTCTCGTGTTCTGTTTTTAGAACCCGCCTCGAGCAGCAAGCCACAGTTTCCATCTGTGAACGACGTCGGATTACGCGTAACGAAAGGCACGGGCTTCTCGTTGCTTTGTCCTGCACAGGCGTTTCCAGTCGCCACGTTTAGGTAGGTCGATATATCTGTCGACCGGGCCGCTTCCACGCGGCACGGGGAAAAATAATCGCGTCTCGTCGCTTTTCTTCCCCTTCTTGTACGCAGTCTCACCCTGTCCCAGTATATTAGGCAGGCTGACGAAACGGTATCCGTGGACTCCGCGGGTGTCTCGTCCTCTCGAGAGCACGAGCAAGAAGGCTGCTAATTCGCTACATAACGAAAATTTCCGAAGAGTCTTCTCGTAAATTCGAGTATGCCCCATGGTTCCAAGACATGGTCCATTTTTCTAGAACCCGTCGGCTTCGCGAAGCCAAAGTTCTCGACGATCGACAAGAGCCGAACGTTCGAGATTCCGGAAGCTCAGGGCGTCACGCTGCAGTGCCCCGCCCAGGCGTATCCTGTCCCACTCTTCAAGTAAGTCGATCGAGAAGGCGCGTAGGGACCACCGTACCGCTCTAAAGATCCGCTTCGTTTCTCGTGTGATCCGCAGAACCGGTATCGAGCTCGAAACCCAAATTAACCGCCCTGGACGTGAAATCGACGAACCCCAGCGCGATGCTGGGCTCTATCACCACCCTACTCTGTCCCGTTCAAGGATTCCCCGTGCCAGCATTCAGGTAAACCCATGACGGACTCTAGCTTCGCTTTTCCACGCTGTTCCAAACGATCCTCGCGACGGCAGGTAACACTAGAACGACTAGTCCTCCTTGAACGCGACAAGCAGCCAGTGAGCACCCTTTGTCTCACGGTAGAGCGGT